GCTACGTCCTTGAATGAGAGATTAAGGAAAAGATACCACAATCCTTTAATGGAAAATATTTTTGTAAATAAACATATTATTGCTACGGAAGTGATTTAAGTATGGTGGAAAAACTAATTAATTGGCCCTTTTTAAATTATACAAGCATTAAAGAAAATGACATAAACGAACAAAGTTCAAACCCTTTTCACATAATCAAATAAGCTGTGTTCATGCTTAAAATAAATAAATAAATAATTGGATAATTTATTGAGACAGATTAAACCTGGTATGACATAATTCGGAAGAGTAAAGCCACTTTACCCGAAAATGTTGACACCTCGGGTGACCGACTCTCACATTGCGTATGGGTCCCGCGTGAATAAAATAATGTCCGACCTCCCAAAATATGTGTGATCGATCATCCAAAATGTCAATCGAGGTGTTCGTGTAGCACGGTTCAATTCAGAAAGCATATGCAGAGCCACATGCAATGAATAATTAGGCAATTTCAGCCCATCTGTCTTTTGGTCCTATTTTACTTTTAGGATATGTTAATCAACTAGAAAACTCCACCTGTATTTTCTTGTAACATCCTAGCAATGTTTGGTGTGGATTAAAATTTAAAAAAAATTCTAAGTAAAGTCAACAATTAATTTTAGGGTAAAGATATTTGTACATAATTTAATGTAACAAATTGTTTACCACCTCTCACATGCATACGGGTCTTGTGTGAATGAAAAAATTCCAAGAAGTTGTCCACACTCCCCTATTGTGAGTAGTTGGTAAGGGATTAGGTAAAAAAATTCGATACTTTCATTAACTAATTCTATCAAAATCTATTAAAAATTTTATTTTAATATACATCGACATGGGTGTCTTTGATAATATGATTCTTCATGCTTGCGTCTGATATGTGCACGTGCACATTGACAAGCTTCCACAAGCATTCACTGCAACCAAATTATGGATCGCACTTCCTTTGTATTATCTCTCTATGTTGGGAAACAAAAATTACTTGAGGCTAATTCGACGGTATATGTATATAAAATAATGTTATTTCCTACCAGTGGTATTAGAGTACTGATCTATATGGCATTATGTGATACTTTCAACTAAATGTGAAATTATGTAATTCATTTAATTGGATCTATAATTTAATATCACTAGTGCTATCACTTAAACTAGTGTTAAGCACCGGTGATATTAAGTAGCATTACTCTTGTATATATGATTATGGGGTTGAATCGGTCGAGCCAAGCTGCTCGACTCATTTATCATCAAATTTTTTAATTTTTTTTTTTTATTAAAATTGTTTTTTGCACTTTCGCAAGTCAACTCGTACTCTAGCCCAACTCGTTTCGTCGCACAAGCCGCTCCTTGGCTCAGCTCGATTCACTGGTTGAACTCATAAAATTTTAACCTTTTTGCAGTTTACATTTGAACAGATAAAATTTTAATTTTTTTTCCATGTTAAATTGAATAAGTAAAAAAGTAATTTTGAATATAAATGATTTTTTTTGGCTAAAAGTTAAAACTTATTTTGATGGCAATATAAAAATTACTCGAAATTTTCTTTACAAGCAAACTTTTTAAGCTTAGCCAAACATGCTCTCAATCATTTTCGAAAAAACATACATTCATTTTATTTTCTTCTCTTCATCTTAAGAAATATGAGTTTAGCCTCGATTAGTTTGACATATTGCAAGTTAAATCCTTTCAAGTACTAGCCTTCCTCCCTACCTTCCTGCTTAGTGTCGAAAGGTTTCAAGTACAATTTATGACTTGTTTGGCTCAGTTTCTCGACGGCAATTTTAATTATAAAAATGTTGAATAGCTGCAGAGTGAAGAACAAAAGTACAGGTAATTTGACAATATGAAGGAAAAATATATTAGTCCGATTTGAAACATTTTTACTTAAAATGGATAAAAGTAAAATAACCCACAAGCCACATTACGAATTCCACAAATGAGATCATAAGACAAAACCAACCAGGTGGCTTTGTAGAGGACATAGCATCAGGTATAGTAAACAAAAGATTTCACCATGGAGATGCTGGGTTTGGGGTGGACACTTTTATTTCAAGTAGGAAATGTCTTGTGGATTACTTATGATATTGCTTTACACATTTGGGGGTGGCCAAATCTTCCCAAACAATTCTTCAACCCGCTTTGATTGATTAACATAGCTTTCCATTCCAGAAGCGAGAAGCTCCACCGCTGCAGGTCCCATTGCGGAGGCAAAGCTATACTGGTCCCACTTTACAATCTGAAAATGAATTGATCATATAAGCACACGAATAAGTCAAAGAGACTAAACTCGGGGTGTCAAACAGGTAATCCTAGGCATTAAGAACCCACAGCCCCAATTTTTTTTTCATTTTTATTCTTTCAACTAACCGTAGGTCATTCCGCCCGGCATGACATTCCCCACCTTATACATCTAGTCTAAACTGACTAAAACGAACATGATTTCCAGATAGAAAATATGTACTTGTAGAGAACATGTAAGTACCCAATACCATTCCAAGATTTAATTTTCTTTCTCCTTTGACAGAAGAAAGTCCCACAAATTGCTCTACCTAGTGCCCGGTGGCATGACTCATGAGATCCAAGAAAAAATATTTTATTTTTTTTTCAATTGTTTCAAATGGCTTTATCAGCGTCTACTTGCAATGAGTAAACTGAATAGAAAATTTCCAGTTCTTATGGCCAAAATTCTCGAGATCAAAGAGAGTTCAAAGTCCTCTCTTCCCCGAAAATGGGAAAGTAAAATCTTCCTTTAGTTCTCCTTTCATATTGGAGGATCATGCCAGCTCCATGATACGCCATTATACGCTCTTTTACAAATTTTTTCTTTTCCTTCACTAATTATTTTCACTTTTTCATTGATATTTAGCCACCTTGAAATTCAAAATAGAATATTAAAAACAGACCTCTTTATCACTAAAATTGTAGGACGCAGCAGATTGTGTAGATAGCCTTCTGACAAGAGAGTATTTCTCATCAGGAGGCGTCACAGATTCCTTTAGAGACTGCAATATCTTCAATGGGGTGATAATGTAATCAACCCTGTAAAAGAAGAAGCCTTACTTTATGGACCACACACGAAGTAACCAATTTAAAAAATTCAACACGCTTCAAAGGAGAGTAATTACCCTAGAAGATTAAAGACGTCCTGTTTGTTGCGAATCGCTGCAGCCATTAGTTTTGATTTATGTCCATATTTGTGAATGTAATTGTATGCCTTTGTCACCTGCAATTGGAAAGAAAATAAAATCTTAATGGTGTGTTCGCAATCTTTTGATATTAAACTTGTTCCTCATTTTCACTGGAAGAAGAAATCATGGACGAGGAGAAAATCTCCACAAGTAAATTTACTATCCAAGGGCCGTTTAAGGTTTATTTTGAAGCAAATGAAGAAATATTAGCTGGAACTGCAGCAAATGCATCTATTAAACTCAATGTAGCAATCAGATGAGAATGATAGAAGATTTAATGTATATACTTCTTTAGAAGCTTATACATTTTAAAACAAGTTCTGAAGTCACTTATTAACAAGACATAGGCAGCATCAATGTGCACGTAGGTGAATGCATGTGAGTTCGGGTATTTCTAGTTCAGAGTTCTATTAATGAATTTGATACACTAGTTGGATTGGCAAACTCAAAAGCCATAAGCCCCTGCACAGGGCAAGCATGGTAAACTGGGACATGATATAAAGCATGTTTGAATTTAAAGAAAGTAACTTAACTTTTACTTATTTTTGAGCTTATCCAAACATGCAAATGATAGAGATAAAAATAAAGAAGCAGCTTTGAACTGACCAAGATCAACCCAGGATCCTCTCCTCTTCTAAGAGCAGTTTCTATGTCTGGGTCACCACTATGGTTGCGAGCCCAATCCTGACACAGATTACCACCACATTATAGTAATTATCATAAAAAATACAAAACGAGTATAGCTTCTACTAGAGGAAGTAATACCCTAAGGCGACCAACAAATATCTGAATGACAGAAGCACCAGCTTGAGCTGCAGCCGCAGCTTGACAAAAGCTGAAGATACAAGCCACCAAAGTAACTCAGAATGTAATCATTTTATATAAATACCTCACATGCAAAGCACTCATTACATACAAAAAGGTGGATGCAAAAGGTGAATAAGGCTAGTTGAATCTATAAAAACAATTAATAAACGAGGAAGAGAAACAAGTAAACCATATAAAAGTGACATATTTTCATAGATCGTGCATGAAAATCATGTATTTTCCACAAAAAACAATTCATAAAAGAGAAATTAGCTTCCATGAAAAATACAGAAATAGCTAGTTGAAACCATGAAAACAAATGGTGAATATCAAAACCTCCAGTATGAAGGTGTAAATTCACAGTGAGAATTAGTAAGCAAGCTTGGTGAAAGCAAAAAGCTTGGACTTTAAAGATTTCGGGCTGACATCATCGTATATGTATGTTTTCGCGCATTACAGGGCCAGTGGGAACAAAGGGCTGTGTGTGTGTGTGTGTGTGTTGGCTGCTCCCAGAAAGTCAAAAAAATCCTTCTGTGCCATGTTATTTCAGCAGTAAACCTTGCTTGCAGAGATGTCTCGACTCCCCTGAAGTATCTTGCATAGTGTTCATAACCCTAGTCCTTCCCCCACCACCCACCTAGCAGACTAGTAATTATAGTATTTGTCCATGCTCATCACAGCTTCTATGCTAGTTGGCAGAAAAAATCACTTCCTCAAGGCTCAACTAGTGATTTTTAAATAAAGAATCTAATTACATCGAAGGCCTCATGCTACATTGATATTTACAGCTAGCAGTTATCAACAATTCTGTCTCTCATACACAACACAGCGACATACACCCTCACCCTAGGCTTTCTTCTCAAAAAGAAACCAAGCCTTATTCTCATCAGGTACGTGAATCCTTTATCTCCACTTCGTTAGATCTATATCCACAGAATATATAAAGACGTGACTTATATACCTGTAGACTCATATACCTGTAGAAATTATAAGTACAATGGGACTTATATACCTATAGACAAACGTCATATGTGTTTGAATGCCCTCGGACTCCAGTAATCTTGATGCCTCAATCCCCTAGCAAAAGAACTAAGTATAAAGATACAAAGATAAAGTACAAGTTTGTTGGTTTTAGAGAATCCAAAATGATACATTAAATCCATAATACTAACTTGCCAAGTTGCAGGAATTTTGAACAACAACCGCTCTGGAGCCACGCCAACTTCATTATACAATTCTAGGAGCTTGTACACCTGGAATATAAAAATATAACAATGGATAATAACTTATTAATGCATTGGTAGAAGGAACAACCGCAAAGAGAGAGAATGCATATATGTGGAACACAATGAAAGTACAAGGACAGCTTTATTCAGAAACTAGGACCAATGCCAACGGAATTTCATGGAACATTAAAGTGCATCAACTGCTCAAAGAGGTGTTTGTACCCAATCCTTACAGTTGTACAACATTAAGTTTAATCAACTCCCAAAAATAGAGTGTTCACAATGAAATAGTTTATGCTGCAGGATTAAAACAACTCAGCTGTAAAAGCAGAAACAAATAGGAAGGTGACTAACTTCATTGGGTAAAGCTAGAAAGCAGTCGTCGGAGGCACACCAAAGGGTCTGAAATAGGTCTAGCCTATCAAGGTTATGTACTTATGTAATAGAGGTAATAGTGAACCCCCAAAGTGCTTTCCTATTATATTATCCAATGGAACCAATTTTTATGCAGAAAAAGCTCACTGCATGACAAAATGCAATCCACTGGGATCATTCAATACAATGTTTTGAACATACCAAGGCAAACCTGGGTGGAAGAAAACGTAATTTTGTTCTATTGTTTTCTATATACTCCGACTGGAATATTATAATATGGATTTCAAAATCTAAAATCATTAGTTAAGTTAGTAACTAAAGTATGTACAAACTTCGAACAATAGCACATCTATATTATGATTAATATTCTCGGGTAACAGTTTGCAGTTAACAATGTAGAAGGATACAGATGGTGGAGGAAAATAGGTAAGTTGAAGGTTTGAAGGGAGTAGCACCTTCTGAACAATGCCATGAGTATCATATGCAAGACGAGCATCTACTTCTGTAGAAACACGACCAGGCACTAGCTTTGCAAGATCACCACCAATATTCACTAATGCCTGCCATTTCAGAGATCAGAAAAACTAAGTGCACTTGTTAAGAACATTTAGAAAGTACAAAAACTAACCTGGTTAAAGAAACAAGACATGCGATCATTGGAGCTCTCTAACCCATAGCATTTTGAATCTGCCAATGCAGTATCAACAGCACTCTACAACCCACAAAAATAAGAGAACCAAGAAAGAAACGATGACATAATTTTGTTAGCAATAAGTTAAAGATACACTCAAATAAATTGAAAAAGACGAATCATCATCAGCTTCCAAATCTTCCCATTATAATTTCTTTTTGGAATTATATAATTACATAATTTTCAATATGTCATACTCAAACAGAAAGATATAAACAGATATAGAAACACATTGTCCAGAAGAAAAACAAAACATTGAATAAATTAAAAGCAAAAAAGACCTACGGGTCCTGGCATACCAATATTCAATTTAGATCTAGTTAGACACACGGACATAAATATGCCTATTCGCTCAGCATGCGAGAGTTCTAATCATTCGGTAAATTAACTGACTATGACTCCGTACTTACCCTAAATTTAGTGTCAGGGAGGCTGCAGATACCCAAGATGAGCGAAGAGCTGACAGTGGCAGCTGTTGGAGGAAATCTATACAATTCATGTATTTAAAAACTTAAATCATGGCATAAAAACAATTCAAAGGTATTCGAATTCAATTCCAGCTGAAGAAGAAATTAAACTATTAAAAACCTTACCTCTCGAAATCATCGAAAATGACAGTATCGGGGACAATCTCGCTGTAACTGGTCACAGCATCCAATTCAGTGCTCAAACCTATCACCATTAAAAAATTGAAGAAAATACATACTGTGTATTAACGTGTACTGAGCATCTATTAAATTTAGGCAAAAACAAAATGCAGAATAAACCGCACCGGTGTCAAGAGAAGAAGAGGAACCACTGGAAGCTCGGATTAAAGGAAAACATCGACGAGGTCTAAATATAATACTTGCCTTTGCGGATTGAGCGGCCAATCGCAATTTCCTCTCCTGCTTCGATCACTCAAAAATTCATAAATCCATTCAACACAATTAACATACATACATACATACATACATACATATAAACTCACACAAATGCATGATTGTGTTAATTTACCTGAAGAGTGAAGGAGGATGAGATTGCAGATGATAGCGGAGAATGCAAAGTAGCTGACATTTTCAATTACGCTGCTGAGTATAGTATAGAAAGGATCTTGTGAGTTATGAGGGCCAGGGGGGTGATATATAAAGAGTGGAACGAGGAATGCGGTGGGAAAATACTGATGCCAGAGAAAGGTACAACTTTTAATTAGTAAAGTACAGGTCTCTAAGAAGTCTCTAATCTCGTTTTAGCAATAATGAAGGTTTAAAAGCATCTGAGTTTTTTTTGGATTGTATTTCAATTTTAATTACAACAATGCGACTATTTTGTAAGGAACCTAAAGAGCAATTAATATAGGGGTGAGCTTGATGACAAACATGCCCCTCGTAATTTCCGTCCAACCTTACCTTGACGACTCTCTTTATTTTGGAGCTCAAAGGACGGCCTAGAAGATTTTTATAGCGTGTTCGGATAAACTTAGGGTGCGTTTGATTGAAATGGTGGAAAATGAGTGGAAAGATAAT